CAATCCAAGCCAGTCTGGGATTTTATGAAACACTGACCGCAAACATTTGTATCAAACACTGACAGTGAGCCCTCCATCAGCAGGGAGGGCTGGGACAGCACCGGGACTTCCTGCTGCATATTTTTGAATATTCATRTTCTAAATTCATGTTCTAAGCAGCCTCTGCCCACGAGGAGATAATGCCTCTCTCACAGCTGGCAGGGGTGATCTTCCCAAGAGACAATGCCCCACCCTGCTACCACTGCTGCACCCCGATAGCGCAGCCCCGACAGAGCACTGGGGCTGCCCAGGGCCTGTCACATACCTCGAGGTGTTTTGGGGATGGCATCAAGCAGTGGCACATCACAACCTGTCCGTGTTGTCCAGCAAAGTGACCAAGGACAACAATCTGACTGTAGTAGGATAAATCTCCTCACACTCAGGGAGGTTGTGGAGCGACACCGCTGTAATCAGTGACAGAATCCAGATGGGAAGGACACACACTTCCCTTTACCGATGGGATCACTCCCACAGAAAATCTGACGGCTGAAATGACTTAGTGGACCGAGAAGAAACACCGCCCAAATCAATGTGAAGATTTGTTCAACTCCAAGTTATGTCAGCCACTAAATTATTAAATAATAGCTGAATGAATCACTTGGGAACGAACATAGCGTTCCTCTTGCATCGTCTATTTTATATTTGTCTGGATCCTGTGTTTATTTTAGTCCCCAGCAGTGTTTGTTTGAAGGGCACTAACAGAGGGAACTCACGGCCATGCCCCAGTGAAACTGCAGAAATGAAAGAGCAACCCCAGACAGTGACGGTGTTTCGAGGAAGCCAGAGCACTTCTCGTGAGAGCCTGGGATGTGGCTTCAGCTCCAGCAACAGTCTGACTGCAGTCTGACTGACTGCAAAGCATGGCCAAGCAGAAATCRGCTTTATTCTGCCTGTTTCAGGCAGGTTGAGGTGTGAAGCTGGAGGCAGCTGCATTCCAGCAGCAGGGCAATGAGGACCCGCCTCTCTACGGCAGGTCCCGGCGCTGTGCCAGCACCTCATGTGGGAGCTAAGGTCGAACCGGAGCAACTGGAATTGCACTCCTGCCCTTCAGCCTTCTGTTTGCAAAAGGGGTTGATGCTCCAGTTTTTTCACCTTTTTCTTTTCCAGCCAGGAGACTGCACTACAATAGCACCAGAGCAGAGTGATCTATGATGCAGAGCGCAGCTCAGGTTTTGGGACAGTATTTCTGGGGCAGGATTTGAACAYTGGGCACAAGGAACAGGATTAAATCCAGCAGAAATGTCCAGTGTTCGGCCACTTGGAGGATCTGTGTATCACGAGAGATTCAGGCAGCTCATGGTGATGAGATCATGGCAAATGAAAGTAAAACTAGAAACTGGAAAGAAGTGATAGCAGCAGTAAAAAGCTGCAGAAGCGCTCAGGAACTGCTGGGGGAACTGAATCGATGTCAGAGGGCTTTTCCAACCCTAGATGATTCTATTAAACACAAAATGTTGAAGATGTCTACAGGTCGAAAAGTACAAGAAGTTTTGCTGACAGACTCCCACCAAAGCAGGAGAGGTTCAGAGGTAGCAGGTGTAACCTGCCCCAGGCTGCTGCAGACAATCCATGGGCACGGTGTGCTTCTCTGACTTCAAACAGAAGGAAATGCAAAGGCAGAGGATGAAATGCAAGGTCTCTCCATCAGTAACACAGTTCAGCTCCCGATGGGGCTGGAGGACAGAAGAGCAGAGCTCCAGAACCAGGCTGGAGGATGAGGGGGGTAATACAGCACACTGGCTTGTCCAAGAGTAAAAAAGCTCATCTTTCACAAAGCAGTGTTTGGCTCTGGATTTCTGGAGTTCTTTTCTGTTCTTGGAGGGGAGGCTATTCAGTTTTTAGAGGAGAAAACAGAAATTGCCAGGCTGCACTTCTAAACAGGTATTTGGCACAGGGAAGCAACAATCCTTCCCAAGACTCAGCTTTGAAAACAACACTGGGTATGATTTATATGGGATCCCTTCATTTTTTTGAAGAGGGTCCGCTCTGGAAGGACAATGTACCCTAAAACCTGGTGAATTTGAGTGGAACAGACAAAAACTAACTTAGTTTCCAAGAAATTTTCTCCCTTGCTTTTGAAACACTATCTGGCAGCATTAGTTTYCTCATAACTAGCACACGTACATGGACACATTGCCCTGCACATTGAACAGAAGCATGTCAGTGTTTGGGAGGATCAYAACTCCTCACCCAAGAATAACCCCATCTGAAGGCCAGTGGAACAAATCCCAACAAAACCAAGGGCATCCTTAACCTCTCCATTTTTCAAGTGTGAGGCACATTCTTAACATGATCTTCTGTCATAAACAAGGAGCAGCATGTACATAAAAAGAAAAAAAACAAGATCCTTTTCTCTGCAAACCCATTTGCACACAATGCTCTCCCCAAGGAGAATGTGAGAAAAAAACTTCTGGGATATGCTCAGGCATTGACGAGGACCTCTGGGGATTAACCCCAGGATGCTTCTGCCTGAAGCAGGGGCAGCTAAACCTCTCCCCAAATTAGAAACTGTAAATCATTACTGTCAGCACTACAAACCCAGGCCCTGAAACAATTTGGAAGGTGTCAGGCAGCAGCAATTGCTCTCTCACTGCAGGGGTCTCCAGAGCAGGGCTGTGGCTGATGTTCTGCCAAGGAGCCTTGGACAGAGTCCCTCTGTCCTCCCCTGGCTGGCACAAACTGCTTGGTGACTTTTCCTGGTATCAGAATCTTTGGGGACAGGTAAGGGACACCCCTGGCATCACAATACCAACACTTCCTCATACATTTCGTTTCAGAGTAAACGTTTTAAAACAACACTCCCAGGCTGGTCACTCCCTCAGACAGGAATGGGACGCCTGAAATGCACTAATGTGTTGTTGCATCAAAAATAACTCTTGTTAATTGTACCCTGGGGAAAGGGCTGTCCAGTCAGTGTTTATACGTTTCTCATCATTCTCTAGAAGCTGTTGTGTTCCCCTTCAAACATCCACCTGATTATATAAAACCAGCCCACTTCTGTCTCATCTAAGGGACAACTTCCTCATTCAGCTGAAGGGTAAAATAGTCAGAAACTCAAAACTGAAATGCTTCCAGTTCCGCAAGACTGTTGCGTATGAAAACCACAGCCTGCTTCCCACTGTCTCCAGCACTTCAGATTTCTCTCCCTGCAGTAGCTGAACTAATGAAGGCTCCGTTCCCCCAGGCAACCACAGGAGGAACAGCTGTGCCAGCAGAGGCACTGAGCTGTGACCCTGCCGCACATCAGACGCTACCGGACCGGACCCACAGAGGGAAAGGGAAGCAGGCTGAGCATGGTTGCGGGCAGCCCCTCGGCCCCACTGCCTGTCCCGGAGCYGGGCTGGGGCGTTTGGGGAGCAAACAGGACCCAGCCCCGGCACGGAGGAGCCGCGCTGACCTCTGCCGGGCTCCCGCGGCACTGCACGGCCCCAGCCGGCTGCACCCGCTGCTCTCTCACCCTCCTCAGGCTGAACAGAGCCCGGGAGAAGCCGGGGGACCGGCCTGGCCCGCACCCCACACCCCGCTGAACCTCGCTCCAGGGCAGTTCAGGCTGTCAGAGCCGCCTGCAGCACCTGCAGCCATCCTGCGTTTCCATGACATGAGGGGATGACACAGCAACACACGGTGCTGAACTGACCAACAGAACTGCAGAGTCACTGAGGCTGGAAGAGACCATCAAGATCCAGTCCAACCATAAATAACACTAATTTAAAAAAATAAATCAATCCAGACACTGAGCTCAGCAAGCCAAGGGGGCAGCACTGGCACATTCTTGTCCTGCAGCTTCACCACCACCTTGTCCTGGACACTACACCAAGCAAAGGAAATTCTACCAGCAGTGTTAAGTGTGAGGGATTTWCTCTAAACCTCAACTGAACAAATGGAGTACATCTTTGTCTGGAGTACAGGACCAAAGGAGCCATTGGGCAGTGTGGGAGCTGCACCTGCAGTTTKACAGGAAGTGAATCTTCTGGGAAAGCGATGGTTTCCAGACCAACGATTTCCAAGCTGAGATAGGACAATATTCCCAACCCACAGCCAGCATGAAAAGTGAACCTTTGCATCTCCAGCTGGTTTTCCAAGGAATTACTACAGGGCTTACTGTTAGGCAAGAAGTCAGGTGCATCAGCTACTGAACCTGTAAACAGGGAGTAGATTGCCACGGCAGAGTGACACCCTGCACCTCACCAAGGACAGGCGAGCAGATGCTGCCAGGGACAGCGGTGTTGGACAGTTCACAGGTGTGTTAAACCAGGTGGGGTGACTGCCAGGGGATGAGTTAAATACTGAACAACGAGTTGTAACCAAAACTTTAATCCCAAGGATCTCACAAAAGACATTTTACAAGTGACATGAAAATTCTTGTACAGTAAAGAAATGTTTAATTCCTAATGTTTACAATGTRCCATTAGACACAACACATCCACTCCAGGTGTCAGTTCTGCTGTGGATTTGGTCTATTCAGAGGTTCTGGAATAGATGGTCAATCAACAATCAGCTAATTAAGGRCTCTACTCACACCAAGTACAAAATTAACTGACCCTACAGCTAAAAAGTTTTATTTYATGGAATATAAAGCAGCTCAGTCAGAACTGGAGCTGGATGAAGCTGCAGCCCAACCCGTTCCCTCCCCATGCCACTGGCTCAGTACTCTATTTCCCAGATCTGGGTAATGGAGCACCCACATCCTGCTCTCTTCCTGGTCTGAAACACACCATCCYTGCACACTTCCTCGAGATTAACCCCAGCAACCCCCAGCCCAGCCCAGTAATGCTCTCCCAGCTACACAACACAGACCATTTGCCATTCCTCACACACACACACAAACTGTGTCTAATGGTACATTGGAAAACCATTAATATTACAAATCATAGGGTCTGCTCAGAACCATATACAGATTCACATCTTTACATTTGCCACCTGTTACAAGATACAAGAAACAAAGCAAGTTCAACAGCTAAAACATTTTAAAAATGCACCAAGCTTTATGAAGTTTCAAAACAAAACAATGTTCTGTACATACTCCTGGCCTCGGATTTCATGACTTCCTGTACACAGCTCCTTCCCACAGTTTTACTTCCTCTCATTTGACCTGGAGCGACTGAAGAAAAACAGACAGGTTGGGTTAGGATCCAGGTGCCACGAGATTTTCCTTTAAGCCCCCTTGCCCCAATCAGCAGGTGATACTTACGCATTTTAAAAATACTGTTCATTTAATAATTTTATTGTTCAGGGTGAAGAACTTCCTATGACACTAGAGGTAATCCTCCACTGCCACCTTYTGTATTACCAGGGCACAGAAATGCATTTTTACATTTACTCAGAACACACAAACACCGAAGACTCTTCTTACCTGCGAGACCTGGAAAAGGAGCGAGAAGGCTTGTGGTTCCTCTCCCGTGAGAGTGATCTCTCTCTTCTTCTGTCTCTGGAGAGGGACCTGGTAGAGATCACAACACCACATCATCAGAACAAACCTCAATTAAGCCAGCAAGGCTCCCCTGAGGAGCTTCCCTTCAGGAGTTTTAACTATTCAGCCAGGGGACACCTGCTACCGATGCTGCTATTAACCCTTTCTTGTGGGAAGAATAACCAGCCTGAGCCAACAGCTTTCAACATAAATAGATACGCAGCACCTTCCAGAGGGTCTTTTTTGCTGAATCCCACCTAATCACATCCTGATTGATCGCTGGACTCAAGCATAAAGGTCTTTTCCCACCTCAGGGCTCTATAATCCTATGCTCACAGTATCTGTGAGAGAGTAGCACATTAATACTTGAACTTTGGGGAAAATTGTCAGAAAATCCCAGGCAGCTGCAGAACGGAAATTACTTCCATTCTCAATATCCTTCCCCTACTCCCCTGGAATCTCAAACAGCTCAATAATTCCAGACAAGCAGTAGGACAGAAGCAAATGTTTCCCTTTTACCAAACTACAGTCTGACAGCGCACAGCCCACATGTGGAGTTGTTTCGGGCTGTTCCTTTTCAACCCYCCAGGCTGGAGCAGTCCATGGGGTMGGGAAGGGCTTCGTACCTGCTGCGGCTCCGGGAAAAGCTTCTCCTTCGCGGTGATCTAGAACCAGAAAACCAAATATGAGGCACTTTATTCATTCTTTGAATTTTAATGGGGTGAGGCATTTCCCAACTTGTCAAACTCACTGTTGGGCCCAGGGAACGTGCCAAGAATAACTGGYATCCATCATCCAGTAAAAGGCATGGAAAGATTAGGCAGTAAAACCAAGCTCAGTGTGAACAGCACGTTTCCAACCACGAATTCACTTAACTAAGAATGCGTCAGAGCAGAGTTGTCCAATGCAACACTTTCCATTTCAACTAAATACACTGCCCAGAACATCACACCAAAGTCCCACAAGTGGTTCCAAAAAAAAAAAAAAAAATAGCACAGAGCAAATGTTTTGGAACCCATGCAAGCCAAAAAGGTCCGTAACAAGACATAAGAGATATCAAGTGGAAAAAAAAGTGAAAATGCGCTCAGTGTCAATATTGATAATGCCATTAAGTGCTACATTAGAACTGCATACTTGTGATTGTCATTTTTAATGCCATAGAGTGTGTTTAGACTAATTTCTTATCAAAAATAAAAAATTAAAAATATAACCTTAGCTCGGCCCAGTTCATCCCAAAAAGTCATTGTTTTAAGTTTTGAAAACTGTTAGTAAAACCATTTAAAGGTGATAGGATTTTTCCGGCAAGGAAAAGCTACATTTGTTAGAGCTTTATAAAAAATTTAGTTTGGCATCTCACATGCAAATATCCTGGTTTTACGTTATTCACAGTGTAAGAGCTTCCATATCACCCTTAAAAGTTTTCTCAAGCAACATATGTACGTTACCACTCAATTATGCACAGCCAGCCTTTGATTGAGAAAAGTAATTACTTATAAGCCGCTTACTCCTTATTTTAACCAGCAGTAAACTGTATAAGCAGGAAAAACTTACAAGTCTTTGGTTTCAACAAGCTAGAAATGGTGAGGTGAGGCTGCCGGACTGACTGCCAAGAAGAATTTGCTGAAAAGGTTTTGCCAGATGTTGCGTTGTATTTAGTTGGTTGGCGAAGGGGGTGTTGTGGATTTTTCCTGCTTTTTTGTTAGCCGAAGGCTGCTGCTGTAGTTGTTGTGAAGACATTTGGTAAATAAACAGCTGAGCTGATTGGCCGGGAATGTGTGGGCGGTCGAGGTGGCTGCTGCCGATTTGGTTAAGGTTGGAGAGAAGGCTGAGAGAAAACAGCATGCTCGGGAACCAAAGGGCGGTGCAACCTGACGACTGGCCATGCCTGGGTCATGTGAAACGACACCAGCCAAGCTGCATGGGGCGCGCTGGTCACATGACGCTGAAAGGGCTAGTTGGCTGGCTAATGCAGACTCAGAGGGTGGTGAGAAGAGACATGATGGTGACTCTGTAACGGGTTCATTTTTATTAATAGATGGACCAAAAAGCATAAAAAAAATGAAAAACAAGCCATCAGTACAACCATCTATTAGCTAACAAATACTCCTAATGTGTTATTTTTTTCAACAGCAAAAGGGTAAGCTTGAAACCCTGACTTGGGAGGACTTCACTCACCTGCCACAGGTAAATTCAGTCCTGCAAAAACCACGTTGCACACTTAAACTGCCAGACAAACTAGTCTGGGTCCAAGAACGTGCCAGTTCCCAAAAATCCTGCTATATGCTAGAGCTGGGTTTGCAAACCTCAAGTGACAGGATTGTCACACGATGCTTTAATTCCAAGCTAACACTAAAGTGTCAAGATTCCAGATGTTTAGAGCAACTGTTACTCAGTCTATTATTAAACAGCTGCCTGCTTGGGAAGTATTTAAATTCTGCAAACAAAGCGAAAAAACCCATCAGTATGGAAATGCTAAACTGCTGTATGTCATGTTCTGCCATTATGGAACAAAGGAAAGGAACAGCCTAAGTTGAAGTATGGGGAAGAAAGGGAAAGTGTGACTAGAAGATGAGCAGATTTTAGGAGGAACGAGGATAAGCCCAAGACAGAGGGCACTGCCTACCAACTGCACAGTCACCTAAGGACACAAGCCAACATTCMACACAACTTAAGTTCACCTCGATTTTGTGGGGGGTTGATTTTGGTTTGGTTTTTTTTTGTCATCTCCAAATCATGACCAGATAGATGAATGTTATCCATCAACATGCCTTTAACAAGCCTGCTTCTAGGATGCTAYGTGGTAACTGTGCCAAGAGCTCTAGGATTGTGCTGTGCCCAGGTACCTGCGCCGAGGAGGGGGACTCCTCCTACGATAGTCATCCCGAGGGCGCCGGCCCCACGATGGAGGGGGGCCACGGTTCCGACTCCGCTTCTCCCCGTTGGAGAGCTCCACTCGGACACGACACCCACACAGAGTTCTGTGAAGAGAGGTTGACACTGGTTAGCATTTCTAGGGCACAGGCAGCAGGGAATAAAACATACAAAGCACAGGAAGGGGAAAATGAATGGATAAGGGCAAAAATGTTCTGTCATCACAGCACAGTGTTCAGTCAGCTCCAGCATGACTGCAACAGCCCCTTCCATTGGAAGTGTCCAAGGTCAGGCTGGACAGGGCTTGGAGCAACCTGGGAGAATGGAAAGTGTTCCTGCCCACAGCAGGGGGTGGGACTGGATAATTTTAAGATCCCTTCCAGGYCAAACCATTCTGGAATTCTATGGCAGACAGAAGGTTTGGCTGCTTCTCAAAACTGAAAAGCAGGCAAGGAAAGAATAAAGTAGAATTTTCATGATCAGTCTTGCATCTTTATAGTAACACCATCTTCAATTTCATTAAAACACACAAAGAGATGCAAGTCATTTCTAACTTGGGAATTCAACCATGAAGTGCAAAATTAACCATTATCGTGCTATTTATAAGGGAGGGCAGGGTTAGATGGGATACTGGGAAGGAATTGCTCCCTGTGAGGGTGGTGAGGCCCTGGCAYAGGGTGCCCAGAGAAGCTGTGGCTGCTCCATCCCTGAAGGTGTTCAAGGCCAGGCTGGACGGGGCTGGCTTGGAGCAACCYGGGAGAGTGGAAGGTGTCCCTGCCCATGGGGAGGGTGGGACTGCATGAACTTTGAGGTCCCTTCCAGATCAAACCATTCTGAGATTYTATTTCTGCACTATAAGAACACCCTTACAGTGTCATATAAATAAATAGTGCATAACAAATGTGCCAAGACCGTATTTCTGCAGTTTAAGCTTCMCAATTAAAAACTTTATCCCTCCCACAATGTCTCATATTTTGACCAGCCAAGCCAAGCACATTTTACCTTCCGTCTAGTTCTCTCACTGCATCAGCTGCATCTCGAGGATCTTCAAATTCCACAAAGGCAAAACCAGGGGGATTTCTTGCCACCCATACACTGCGCAGTGGTCCATAGTAGCCAAAAGCTCGTTCTAATTCCGTTTTGTTGCCATTGTTTCCAAGGTTACCTACGTAAACCTTGCAGTCCAGCGGACAAGAGTCGCGATGCATTGCTAGAACAAAAAAAAAAGAAGTTCACGTATATTTCACAAAACGCATGTGCTTGTTCACTTTCAAGGAAGTCGTTGGTCACTTTCAAGAAGTCGTGCTGTTGGCTGCTTCCCCCTGAAACTTACAGCAGTGATACGATCTGATACAATGGAAACATGTGTGGAAGGGGCGGGCGGGGTGGGAGAAGTGTGTTAAAACCCAACAAGAAAAGAGAGCTTCTATGCCGCATTGTGATGGAAATTCACTATTTCCGGGAATTTCGTTTACTTTGACGGTTTACAGATTTGAGGGGGGTGGGTCCCTGCGCGCCTCCTCCCGCTTAACACGGGGGGGATCTGCAGAGGGCGCTGCGCGGGGGCGGCTCCATTGTTCCCGGATCGGGATTAGGATCAGGGCCATCCGCGTACGGAAGGGGGGCAGCGCCATCTCCGGCGGAGCCCCGCGGGSACTGCCCAGGAACTCGCCCCGGAGCTGCTCCTCGGCGCGGTGTGGACGACCAACGCTGCTCCTCGGCGTGCGGGCCGCCGCCACTCCGCCCCCGCGGCACCTCCCGCCCCGCCTCGCCTCACACGCCGCGGGGAGCAGGCCGAGAACGGGCTCCTCCCGGCAACCCGCGGCCTCCCCGCCGTCTCCCTGTCCGGTTCCGCTCAGGGCCGCGGCAGCCGCCGCCCCAGGCCCRGCGTTACAAAATGGCGGCTGCTCTTTGTTTGCCGCCACCACCGCCTCCATCCGCCCCGCCGGGGACCGAGATCGCGGCTAACGCCTCCCCCCCACCACCTCCGGGGTGAAGAGCCTCACCGGTGCTCAGAGGGAGGGCGCGCGAAGGGAGCCCGCGCTAAACTCAGCCGACTCGACCCACAGCGAGACCCCAGCTCCGCTTTTCCTCACTGGACAAAATGGCGGCCGGCGGCTAACCCGCCCGCCTTTATATACGGCCAGTCCTCTCCCACGTGACTCAACACTACAGCAAATCAGAGGGCGTAGTTGCTCTGATTGRCAGGTGACGTCACGGCGCGCGCGGGGGTGGGTGGGACCTTGGCGGCAATGGCGGGAGCGCTGAGGCGGTTGCTCGGGCCCCGCCCGGGCTCTGAAATCAGGGAGCGGTAACACCCCCACAAATGTTGTTTTTCTGACTAAAATGAAAAATGAAGCTTTATATCCTTGTGTTTCTGGCCCGATGAAGTCCATCCGTGTAGGGTTTACATCTTTGAACAATTCTCTCAAGAGGAATTTCTCCCCATGAGCTTTAAATAAGAGYGTTGATCAAACTGCTGTAAACCAGAGTTTTCGGTAAATTTTATGCCTGGGTTTCGCTTACTGGCCAAAGAACAGAACTGAATTACTTTTTTAGCACTTGAGAAAACGAGAGGACTTGAACAGGCATTTTAGTTACAGATACACAGTGCTGTTGATGTGCTTTGCCAAACTCATTCATACATGATATTCGTTCATACAACATGATTTTTAACCTCTCATTAAACAATTAACTTGCTCCAAAGGGATTGYCTTAGATAAAAAAGCTCCTGATTTGGGTTATCAGGTAACATAAGAAAACCACCCAGGGCTGTTGCTGCAACAACCTCCCAAAAATCCCTCTTTGCAGCTAGGCTGGGTTTARTCCAGGCTTCATCTCTTTCACTTGGGCCAGAGAAGACAAAATTATCTGGTACAAATGTAATTAATAATACTTTGAATCAGACGTTATACAATAAGGCAATTTCAGTACAAATTAATGCTTGTTGACTGTGCTTTCCAAGCAGGAACTGTGCAGAGGATGGGGCTTCCTCAATCTACCAGAATTCCTGAAACCCAACTGGAATTAAAAACAACCAGCTGTTATAATCCACTGTGATTTTCCAAAATCTTTTTACACCATCCCCCATTACTTTAAAGAGYTTTTTATCAGTAAAATCTTCCAAGGGTCAAAACTGGCCAAGGGACAGAAACACAACTTTTGAGCCATTATTTTGAGGTAATGGATGCTCCAAAGTATTTTTAATGTGTGTACAGTTATCTGAGAGTTACCTGCCTTTAATTAAGGAAATTGAATCCATTGTCATCTAAATTAGTTGATGGCTAATTTCCTGAGACAAGACAAACAAAGGAAATAATTTGAAGGTTGGGGTTGTTCAGCCATTTCACTTTGTGACTTCTTTGAGATGGTGATTTCCAGTACTCACCTCTATCCTCCAAGGTAGTTTGCAGCATTTCTAGAGCCTGCTCAGATCACAGAATGTAAATTTTTAACATGATTAAAGTTTTGCAATAACGGATATTTAAAAAAAAAATAACGAAAATAAACAAAACCCAAATATTAGCAAGCAACTTGGACAACCTTGTAATCTTAACAGAACTTTTGACTTCATAGCAAAGTTACCCGTGATGTGTGAAGATAATTCCAGATGACAGACTTGGGAACAAAGGGTTTATTCAGTAGTTAGCTCACCCCCTGCAAAGCAAACAGAGCACTCAGCGCTCACCTGGGACATGTCACCTGCTCTTTTCAAGCACTTCTTCCCTGGGGTTGGGCCCATCACCACATTTTATAAATCACAGTCCACAAAAATCTTGTCATCCAAACATAATCCATGTCCAGTTTGCTTTTGACATTGTACAGAAACTGAACGTGGCCCATCACCAGGACACAAGGCAGAGGTCAGAGTGTTCAGCCAAATTCCCAGAGCTGGGGTTGGGATGTGCCACCACAGCCACACAGCTCTGGTGTCATCCCAAAATCAGCGATTTGTCCTCCCAAAGCCATCCCTGAGCCAGCCCTGGGCAGTGCTACATGTGGATGTCACACATAGGTGGAAGCTGCTCTGTGCTACAATATTCCCCTCCTTATTCCGAGTTTGTGAGTGTTTGGAAAGTCCCACTGCATTGCACTTGCTGGGTTTTAGAGTAAGAAAATGTCACTTGTGTCCAATATCGTTTGTTAAATGTTTTATAACACCCCCAGGCCAGGGTCCATGAGCACACTGACCTGGAGTAAGGTGTTCTTGTCAAACTGCTGCCATAGTTTTGGAGATTTCAGTCTCACAGAGGAAACGAAGACATTCTAGACATTATGATTTGGAAAAAATCTCAGCTGTGTGAGCCAAATTTAAGGGCTCACAGAATCACAGAATATCCTGAGCTGGAAGAGACCCACAAGGACCTTCAAAGACCCACTCTTGGCCCTGCACAGGACACCCTAAAATCCCACCCTSTGCTGARAGCATTGTCCAAATGCATCTGSAACTCTGGATACCTCAGGAGATAGAAAATATTTACTGCAGAATCCTTCTATCAGCAAGAGGATGTCTCCTCAAGCAAAAGCAGACACWAACAAACCCAGTTATTTGCTGGCACGATTCTGGCCACAGAAAGACCTTTGCTGGGAAATGTCATCGCATAAACACAACAGGAACTGGTGGAGGGGACAMATCTTCAGTCAGAAACCAGCTGCACACAGGCACATCTGAGGCTGCTGTCAGGGGTTTCTGTGGATTCACCTCATTTGCACATCCTGCCCATAGACCAGCCCTGGTAAAGGCCATTTTCTGAAGAAACAGAGACTTAGACAAGTCTGATCTTTAGATATATTTAAATATATTACAGTGCATGAACTTATTCCCACAAACTCATCGCTGACAGGGTACAAGTTTCCTATTCCATCACTTTTAAAACRTATATTTTTACACTGTGAAATCTTTTGGCTCATGTAAAGGGAGAGTGAAACAACAGACTGTAATTTATACATCCTAGACCTAAACTAAGACACAGCACCCAGCACAGGGGCACAGCATGTCTCCAAGAYTCAGCACTTGGGGATTAATTAGTGAGGTTTATTTACTTGAATGAAATTTAATTGCTCATCCTTCACCCTCACCTTTCCAGGAGTGAGGCTTCTGCCACTGCTGGGGTTTCACCTCTAAGCCAGGAGCACCACACAGTCACATTCTCTGGCAGGGGCAGATCCCATAGAGTTCATTTTTATGGAGACAGGGCCTATGGCACTGCGAGACATCCCTTCTTTTTTTTATTATTACCAGGTGGGGTTCTCAGGAGACTTCTGCAATGCTGTGGAACCTGAGATAAGCTCAGAGAGCCCAGCTCAGAAGCAGCACCAGGGACCCAAGGCTTTGTCTCAGCCTTACCTGAATTTATTTTGCACACATAAAATATTCCATCTGGAGACTATTTAGGAAAGGAAAAGGAGAATCAGCCCCAGGCTTGGCTTCAGGGCAGGTTTTGGAGGACAAAACACTCACCCTTGCTACCGTGTTCAGAAAGAGCTGTGAATTCCAGGAGCTTCTGCAAATCTGGCTTGGAATCAGAAAATGGAAAACGAAAACAGTGAGCCTGAGTCACTGCTGTTCAACTCTAATTTTAATTCCCTGGAAGATGGGAGTTCTCTCTGGAATGACGCAGTACACAGCGCATTACGGGCCAGGATTTCAAACTGCTCCTGGAACACTTTACCCCCCTCCCAAATGTGATTACTGGCACCTCTCCAGATGGCACAGGACTGTCCCCAGCAATGAGGAGGTGGCACAGAAGAGCTAAAGGCACCCAGAGGGAGGAGAAGCCTGGAACTCACTCCTGGGAGCTCAACTGGAAATGGTCACGGAAGCCATGGAGCTGCTGAGGGGGCAGAGGGCTGGTGATGCCCCTGTAGCACCTCGAGCAAAGGTGTGGTGGTGCCAAAATCTTCGTGGTTTGCTGTGAGGTGACATTTCCTCCCATCTCTGAGAGAAGGAGGGCAAATTCAGCAGCTGCTGCTTCCCCAGCAGCTCAGGGCAACTCTATTTACCACGAGTGTGGTCAGTGTTTCCTCTCAGCAGGGCGGTGCCCGGCTTTCCACACACAGCACAGCAGCTCACAGGAATTCGGGTCTGTTGGGCTAAGAGCAGTAAGGGAAAAACAAAACCACAACCCAAAAATAATAATAATAAAAAAAAGAGTCAATGTTTTCGTCAGGGAAGCAGGAAGCCTTCTGGAGCCCACACTCCTGTTCCTGGTGAGTAACAGAGAACAGCACACGGAAAATATTCCTCAGATCTGTCGGCCCATCTCCCTACAGATAGAGGATCCCTTTGATGCAGTGCGGTCTTTGTTCAATTAAGTTTTCAAATCCCGGGCCAGAGGATCCCCCTTGCCCTAACGAGGCTATTTGCACATTTGCTTTGCTTTCTGCTCCCTCCCCCAGTTCCTCCTTCCCCCTCAACTGGGCCTCCAGGCTTTCTCTTCCCTTTTTCTTTCATGCTCTGCAGCAAGCCATATTCCCTTCCTCCCCCACCTGGCTCCCCGGGGAAAGGACTGGAAAGCAAAACAAAAGAATCACTCCCTGGGAAACTATAATTGGCACAACCCTCCTGCTCCAAAACACCCGCCGAAGGTGAGGGAACAGTGAAAGCCCCTCCCAAGCAGAGACCAGGAAAAGCCAGAGGGAGGGAGCGAAGGCTTTGAAGCCAAGGCTGAAACCTTTGATGGCTCCAAGAATGCTGTGAGGGAGGCCCCGAGGGGACCAAGCTCTGGTCAGCCTGAATCTCTGGTTACTTCCCSAGCAGAACGGGCTCCTACTMCACTCTGCACCATTCAGATGTTAAYTTATCCAACCTAAAAATATCACCTGGGAGTGCTGGTAGCACAATTTCCCCGCATGACATTAGCCCTGACCCCATCTCAGCTCTGGACATTTCCTCCTGGGTGGGTGGCTGGGTTGCAGCGTGCAATCGACACTTTTTATGTTTTCTTTAGGAATATTGTATCTCTCATGGATACAGGGTAACTCTAGCGCAGCCCGACCTCAGGGCAGTGTCACAAGGTCACGACCATGGTTATTTTGACTTCTCCAGAGTCCTTGGATGAAGGAAATGGCCAGTGGAAGGGCRTAGCCACTGCAGTGTGGTGTGACCACCAGAACATGCTCCGAGTGCCCCTGTCCTGACCCCACATTGCCACCTCTGCCTGCAGTCACTCATCTGGCATTTTTCCAGTGCCAATAAGTGCATCCAATGAAAACCCATTGTTCACTGTAGACTTGAGAAGTTCAGGGATGATTTGTCCCAGATACTTTAGACAGGAGTTTGGCCAACGCTTATTAATCCTTGAAGATGTAACCACGGCATCCACAGTGGATAATTTGGTATAACAAGAGCATAAACGCTGCCCTGGAGACTCAGATGTGAAGCCGGGCCCTGATTTACCAATATTTAACAAATGTCAKCTTTAATTGGTGACACTAATGGGTGACACTCTCCTTAACAATCAGGACTCAGGTAATGAAATCAGGAACATTTATTGGGTCTGTTGGAAATAGCAGGGATCAGACAAGCTGCCCTGATATGCACACAATGAAAAGCAATTTGGTGTCCATGGAAGCTGGGAGAGCAGACGAGGATGCGAAGCCCTGCAAGGCGCCTGTCTGTGCAGGACAATGTGTCTGCACCCACCTGAGTCTGGGTTTATCAGGAACACAGCCCTGTGCCTGTGGGAAAGGAATTCATCGCTTCTGAGACTCTGAGCAAATGATCTTCCAATCTCTTCAGAGATGACAAATGCATTCATTGTYTTTCACTTTGAGAAATAGGAGCTGGTCCTCTTAAGCAGGTTCAGCCTAATGATCCAGCCACATCCTGAGTATCCAAATCCTACTGAAATTACCTGGTTAGAGGTCACACAGTGAGTATCAAACCTTGTACAGTGTGAGCTTGTAGGGTTTCAAAACATATCAGAATTTGCTTTTTTGCCTGTATTACCACTTCCACTTTTATTGTTTGGTGAGTTGATAAGTCTTTTCCATTCCTCCCATTTCCAAGGTTTCAAACAAATTTCTTTACTGTATAATCAACAGATTCAAATGAAATTTGTTCTGAAAATTAAAATCCAATGGGATTTTATTTAGGTTGCCCCAGGAAGCTGTGGCTGCCCCAGCCCTGGGAGTGTCCAAGGCCAGGCTGGACAGGGCTTGGAGCAACCTGGGATAGTAGAAGGTGTCCCTGCCCCTGGCAGGGGATGGGACTGGGTGGATTTTAAGGTCCCTTTCAGCCTAAACCATTCTGGGATTCTATGATTTGCCAACTCCTCAGATTTTCTGTGAGTTTTGCTGATTGATACCTGGCATTGCAGGGCTCATCACTATTGTTAATTTAGATTCCTCTTACCCAACTCAGGGTCCCACACSTGAGGCCACAAGGWCAGGAAAGGAGGAAAATCTATTTCCACACCAAAGACACTTTTCCTGATCAACYCTGAAAGAGCTGGATATCCCTTGTCCATCATCCTGGGGCACAGGAAAGCTGTGCTAGAATCCAGAGATCTCACAAAACAGGAGAGATGCAAAGGAAGAAGAAACTGCCTGCAAAGTTRTGATCTTTTCCTTAGTCACAGCTGAATATTTCAGAATCCAAGATTTATTCTCATTGGAGCTGTCTCATTTCCCTGACACGAGAGGAATGGTCTTAGTCACRGAGTGCTGGGGAGCCCATTCCCATTGCTCCTGAGCACCCTGGGCTGATATAAAAGGCAGCCAAGGGCACTTGGTGTCACTGCACTGAAACATCACCAGGGCTGRCAGGAGCAGGTCAGGACTTCACTGGGATCCAAGCAACACCATCAGTAAGTGAATAATGTTCCTTTTGTAACTGGGAGATGCTGTTAATTMATGTATTCTTTACTGTTGATCACAATAGCAATGTGTCATTTCTCTATTGTGTCTGTAATAGCATAATTTAAAATATAACTCAACATTTAATACACACATCTCTGTGTATATTTATGTGCATGGATCTGCATTTAATACATATTTTTTCATCAGAACTAATAGCCACTTGTTATTTCACATCTACTTTGATTTCAACATACTGCCCAAGGAAATTACTCACAATTTACTGGGGCAGACTTATTAAGAATAAGCTTGTTAAAAGCAAATATAGAATTGATGTGTATTTATGTTCTATTAATATATAATTTGCTTTTCTATCCAGCCACTGGCAAAATTCAAGCCAGTATAAAGACAAGTCATTTGAGGAGATGYTGAGTTTTTTATTATCCCAAATTTCTTCTGCACAGAAAGAAGTATTCCTTAAAAAAATTATACAGGAACACGTCTTTACTACTCCTATATAAGAATTTAAATGCTGGAACTTTTGTTTTGCTGTTCATCCAGGTTTTGATGCAACAATAAATTGCTGGTAAATGAATCATATGCTGGAGCCAATCCTAAAGCAGGGTACAGTCATCAGTACCAAAAATGCAGAAATTTTAGGGCTAGACTGAGCAATAAAGGCATGGTGGGGCTGAAGGGATGGGTAGGTACGGGTGTACCAAAGCCAGGAGCAGGAACAGAGCTGGATGAAATGGTAATTTAGATTAAAATAATCATTGCACAATTACATCTTCCAGTTGTCCTTTCCATAAGCCAGAAATCCACTTTCTTGCAGAAAAGAAATCTGGCATCAGTGTCACATAATCCTGGATCTTTGGGTGTCACCACTTGTCTTGCTCATGGAAAACCTTGTATTATTGAAGGCCCAAACTCCAGGGCTGTGGACAACTTTTAACTTAATATTCCTGCTCCAGCCTAAAATACCTTTAGGGTTCCATGATTCGCAGCAATCCTGACCTTTTTGTCAAATTGCTGTGAAGTTTTTATCAGGAGGGTCTCTTCCAAGTCCTGAAATGATTTTCTGCGCTTGCAAATGCACAAGAGTTTAAAACGTTAAATTGCAAGGCAACAGTGGGAAAGGAGATTTAAGGCTCTAAGTGAGAAAATGTAGAAATATCCTGTGAATTCTGTCTGTTCCTGGTATATGTTACAAATCCACAGGTCTGGGATGAGGTGGGAGGCACTGGGATGTTTTACCACAGCACAGTGCTTCACTCTTAGCCCTGCTTAACAATTCATTTTGTCAGGTGAAAGAAAGAACAGAGGAAAAGATTTCTGGTCACACTGSCAGCTTCTGGTCCTGTGGAGCTGACTTAAAGAAGAGAGAAAATGTTCCTGCCCCAGAGATCTCTGCAGACAGTTRCATTTTTGGCAATTCTTTTTTTTGCCTGTTTTGCAACATGCCAAGAAATTGAAAAGTAAGTAATATTATCTTTTTACTTCATTAATATCAGTAGAAAACTGYTCACTTTTGATTTCATGGGCTGTGTTCTGCACTGCTCTCAGTTACTCCAGGCATGGCAGAAGAAAAATTCAATGTATTTGATACAGCACCATTTTACCTCAGCCTCTCTRTGGTATAAAATTAGACCAATTGCATTTTTAGATGTGTAACATGTACCACATTTCAGTTGTCACTTTTAAACACAGGGTAGCAAATCACGTAAGCATGTTCAACACAAGCCATRGAGATGGAACATGCTGAAATCCCATATTTAGATTTCCATTCAGATCCAAATCTGCAGTGGGAGCCTAYAGTTGCAGTCAGAGCTTATCTAAGMAGCCTGGAATCCTGAATTATTTGTATCTGAGATTTAGCCTGCCCTCCTYAGTCAACAGTTGACTCAAAAGTTTTGGTGTATCTGAAGAAAAGAGGGATTTTATGGCATGGACTTCAGTGATTTCAGGTAAATTACTCCCCGGCTCTGGAAGGAAAGAAACAAACCCAAAAGTCCTGTAACACTGGGATGATGGAAAGGGAGCTTTATTCCACTATTGAAACCTCTGAAAAGAATCTAAATTTGGGAAAGACCAAATCTCTGTAAGATCTCCTTCAGTCTGTAACAGCCATTTTGTCAATCCYCCCAGTTTACCATTTTATAAAAAGGGAGATTGAAGGCACACCTTCGGGAATAGCACAACATTTCAGCTTCCCTTCTGCAAGAATCTTCAGGCTCCCTGATAGCCTGTTGGAGCCTGAGGCACTTCCAGAGCTCCTTCCTAAGCTCGGAGAAGCATCGGGGATGGATGGATGGATGGATGCAAATCAGCATCCGCCGTCCCTGACTCTGTTTCTCCCCTTGCAGCAGGAGGGCAGTGACCGAGCACCAGCTCATGCACGACAAAGGGAGGGCGTTCCAGGGCCTGAAGCGCCTGCTGTGGCTKCACCACGCCCTGGGGGCCGTGCACACAGCCAGCAGCAGGGATATCCCACTTCCAAATGTGCAGAAGAGCCAAGATTCCTCTGATTTCAACAGCATCGACAGGGATGAGGCTTCAAGCCTGATGAAGCAGCTGCTGGAACTGACAGAAGCTCAGGGCTTCCTCCCGTTGAAGCAGCTGGATGGGAAGATCCCAAAGGGCAGCTGGAACCCACAAGGCCTTTTTGACCCCCTCTGACTGTTCCCACAAGTGCCAGCCCAGCTGTCTGTCCCTYGCTTCACACGTGCACTGCTGGAGGGAAAAGCTCCAGCGCAAAGGTGAACAGCAAAATGAAAACCCTTCACTGCATTCGCTCCTCCAGGTGTTCCCAGAAACCCTCAGAAAGAGCAGCTCCTCTCCCTCTGAACCCTGGGACTGTGACACTGAGAGGGTCCCCTCTCTTCCCTCTCTCCTCCCTGTCTGCCATGGATATCTTAGGGATGGTGCATCCTGTTGGAGCTCTCGTAGCTCACACGGAGCAGGAAGTTTGGGTCATTAATCTGCATTTTCACAGCCTCACGTTCAGCCTCCTGAAGAATTTTACCTTCCCATACAGGTTCTCTTCCATTCACACCTGCCTGCAGTAATTTCACACTCAACTCTAGTAATGGCTTTTCTTACATGGTAGGTCCAAAGGGTTTTTTTTTTTCCTGCTCCTCCAGCATGGAGACTGTTTCAAGGCTCTCACCCCTCAGGTTTTCCTTCATTTTGCCAGGTAGAAGCTGGCAGTGATCCCCACTCAGCCAAAGCCCGGGACATCCACCTCGTTCTGCTGGTGGAAGAGATGAGAATGAGCTTTCAGAGCATCTGTTTGAGCCTTTTGTTCCACCATTTCCTTGTCTTTCCTCAAGTGAAATCCTTTCCAAGAGCTCCCACAGCAGCAGGAAACCAGATTCATGAGGCCACCTGCATTTCCTGAGAGGTAACACTGGATTTTGCTGTTCACCTTTGATAACAAACTGACCCTCTCTATCTAAGCAAAGCAGGGTCCAGTTTGACTGTAAAATCAGTCTTTGAGAAATGAAATCTATCATGTGTGTTACAAATATATCAGCATTTCCATCATGTAGGGACTCTACACTGTTTTAAACCCTGAAATACAAATTCCTCTGTTGCTRACAGACTTCAACTGTCTTGAATGCATTTCTCAGTGATTAAAATGTTGCTAATAATAAAAAACCTTTTCACCCTTGAAATTACACTTGCTTTGTTGTTTTTCTTCCTTTTTTTTTTTTTCTTTTTTGGCAGAAATGTAAATGAAATTAAACAAAACAGCATTTTTCAATATCTCCACACATCTGGTATGAGTATGGAATCACATTTCTTTTGTTATGTCATTCCTCACAGCTCCCTGTTAGGTTCCCAAGGCCAGTCAAGGTTTCAGGTATTTCCAAAGAGCCGGGAGGGATGAGATGAAAATGGGTTGTGCAGCCCAAGCTGTACAAAGAGTTTGCTGAGCTGGGATGTGGGAGMTCTTCCTCATCAAATTCAGAGGATGCARCCTCGGGGACCTGRCTGTGACAGCTCARARCTCTGGGGAAYSGTCATGACCTGCCCAGCACACCGTGGATCAGCCWCTCAGTCCTCGCAGAGGCAGGTTCCTCTGGGGCTGAGGGGTTGTTTTCTTGATCCCTGCGAGGGGAGGTGACCGTGGTGGCTTGGTGGTCTCTGTGGGCATCGGTTGATGTGTGTCGCCTCTGTGGGAGGGGGAAAACCAAACTTCCCTCGACGGTGAGCCCAGGCCGTGTGCTGGGGGCTGCACGTCACAGCACCATTGAGGGAAGGTGGGGAGGGGGGAAGGCAGCAGAACAGGGCTGCCCAGGCCGAGAGAAGCACTCCGGGAGCACCCAAAAAGCAGTGTAGGCAGGCCGGCACCTCAGGGCTCGCAGCGCTGGTGCCTCTGCCCGGACCCACGGGAGAGCGAGGGCTGCTCTGGTGCACGGCCGGGTCCCCTCCAGCCCCTCAGCTCTGCCGCACCCGTTCTCCCCGTATCCCCGGCACGGATCCCCAGCACGGATACGTATCCCCAGCACGGATACGTATCCCCAGCACGGATCCCCAGCACGGATACGTATCCCCAGCACGGATACGT